TATATATATATATATATATATATATATTAACAATCTTTTGATAGTACAGGCAATCAAATTGTTGATAAAGGTTATGAAGAATTTTGATGCAACAAATTTTGAGGATCAAACAGCATTAGACCTAACAAGCAGCAAAGATATCAAGAAGAAATTAGTTCAGGCTAGAGCCAAACTTACAAAGATTAAGAAAATTCATTCGTTAATGCAATCCACGAATGAGTGGCTAGTTCGCAACATTCGTGTTAGAGGGCACATGTCAGAGCAGATACGCAGTGCTTATTTGGTAGTGACCACTCTTGTTGCAACTACTACTTATCACGCAGCATTGAGTCCCCCTGGTGGACTTCACCAGATTGGTGCTGGAACTAATAACACTCTCACTCATATGGCTTCTAATTCATCTATGAGTGAAGGGAAATCAATCATGTCAAACGTGGACTTCATTGCATTTTCAACTACAAATATTTGTGCCTTTATTGCATCAATTCTTACTATTATCAGTCTTCTGCCGAGGAGGAACATTACCTGGTTTCTAGTGTATGCAGCAACGGGATTTCTTATAATTAGCTACTACTACTCTATGGCGACGATATCTCCCAACAATTTTACCACAACCTTTGTTTCGGTGGCTTTCTATTTCCTTGCGGGGATTTTCACGGTGATGGTGGTTGCTACCATGATGCTCAATTCAGCATAGCTTAATTATATATGTTTGGTTATTCAAACTACTTGTTTCTTTTCATTTGTCCTTTAATTTATGGGTAGTTTGGACTTTTTTTTTCCGGTGTATTGTATTTTACTAAAGAAATCTTGAAGAAAAAAAAAGCTAGGGAAGAAAATATATGACGGGAGAAGATAGAGAATAAATGTTGTAATAGAATCTTATGAGAAATTAACGTGAGAATAATACTATTTAAAATAAGCTGTCATGTTTTTGTTGTCGCCATTGCTGTGTTAATTAATTTTATAATTTCTATTTAATTGTTGTTGTTAATTTTTTTTATACGATCTCATATATATACTTGAGATAGATTACACTCATAAGCACTTATACAACTAGCTATGACATATCTATATAAAGATATTAATTAAGAAACATAATCCTTAGTATAGAGGAGATCAGTATATATAGGGATTAATATTAAAACAATGATAAATCTACTCCTTAAATTTAGTGCATTATAGCAATTACAAATTTATTAAAGGTGAATAATGTTGGAAATAAAATTTAATAGAGCACATAAAAATAAATACTTAAATTTATTAAGAAAGTCAATATAAATAACACGATAAATACTTTAAAATTAAAAATAGAGGAATCAATAACAATCAATTGAGTACATAGAGTAAATTAAATAATAAATAACAAGATTAGAGTAACTTAGATTAAAGCGCTCAAAGTATTATTCTTAGAGAGAAAACACCTTCATGACATTAGTAATTTTAAGTCTTATAGTGTGTTTCTCTCTCAAGATACGTTAACTCGTTAGACCGTTCGAGTGCAGCGAAAGATCCCCGAACCAAAGAATACTACTTAAAAAAATATATTTTGGTAGTAGAAATAATTTTGAAGAGAGAGATATAAGTGAACTGTTGTGTATTTTTTCTTTTACTTACGAGCCTATATATATAGATCCAACAACATGTGCTTAGTTTAGAAAAATTTTAAAAATTTGACACCAAATATTATTCCTAAAAGTAAACAATGTGCAAACCAACTAAAATTGGACCCTAAGTATTGTTCCTAAAAGTAAGCAACGTGCAAACCAACAATATGCAACAAGAACTACAAAAAAAATTGCAAAATAGCGACCGAAATTAGCGACTGAAATTTATCAGTCGCTATTTAGCGATTGATTCTGAATAATCAAATAGCGACTAATTTAGCGACCAAAATAAGTCGTCGCTAGAAAATATGTCGCTATTTCAGTCGCTGCATGACTTTTTAGTGACGGAATTGAATTCGGTCGCTAAATATTAGTTAAAATTAGCGATGAAATTAAATTCGGTCGCTTAATATTAGTTAAAATTAGCGACAAAATTGAATTCAATCGCTAAATATTAGTTAAAATTAGCAACAAATTTGAATTCGATCGCTAAATATTAGTTAAAATTAGTGACGGAATTCTATTCGGTCGCTAAATATTAGTTAAAATTAGAGACGAAACTAAATTCGGTCGCTAAATATTAGTTAAAATTAGCGATTGAATTCAATTCGGTCGCTAAATATTAGTTAAAATTAGGGACAAAATTCTATTCGGTCGCTAAATATTAGTTAAAATTAGAGACAGAATTCTATTCGGTCGCTAAATAAAACTTAAAAAAATATATAAATTGCTAAAAAGTGATGATAATATTGTTGTTGAGTATCAATCCCATTTTCTTTTTTTGTAAGAGCAAGACATTAATTTATAATAAAAATATTTATATGCACTCCTACATAATTAATACCAATAATTATTTATGTAAAAAATATTTAGAGGTTTATTTTTACGATTGGATTTTTAGGCATTTTTTAATTAGAGTATATGAATTTTTTAAACTTTCTTATTTATTTTGATCCATATTTATAATATATAGTTCTAACTTATGATAACTTTATTTTTAAATAAATTTTTATATTTAAATTGTATTGATAGAAGAGATGTGATATCTTGAGAAAAAAAGAATTATAACATCATCTCTCTTTCTAATAAAAAGAATACAAATGTATTTTCTTAACTATTAGTATTTCTT